AATGAGAACGATGGATGGCTTGCCCGTTTCACCATAGAGTATTTGTACAGTTTTCTTCAAAAGAACTGCAGGTCATCAGTTTCGGCACTTCAAGTGCCACCGGAAAAGACAATGCAGGTTGGAATGCTATATAGACTGTAAAGCAAATCTAGGAAGTCGCCTAGTTTCTTAGTATATGCATGCTAGTACAAAATGAAGCCCTTCAAGCTAATATGTACATGAGCAGAAGAATCTAGCCTACTTTCAAGCAAAGGAATCTAGCACACTTTTCTTGTAGCCCCTAAATTGAATATCGATTACACTTGCTAACTAGAGATTCCCAACTTCTATGTGACCATCTACAAACTTTTGCCATCGTCTAATTTCAAGCTCGCACCCCCACTGATTGAAGTAGATTGTAACACAAAATTTTCATAAATATAAATAAAAAAAAAATTAAGTTGACATACCATGTAAAAAGAAGGGCGATTGCTTGGTTACTTTCGCACATCAAGTTACAAGCATCTATAAGTATATACAAATGAGGTTACGAAAAAGAAGATTATAAGTGTGCTTGGATAGTAAATTATTTGAGATAATTTTTTGAAAAAATTATTATAGTACTTTTTGATATGATATATATAAGATTAAAAGGTGATTAAAATGTGTTTATATTATATTTTACACGCTCCATGAGGTGATGAGCCATCAAGTGATATATACCATTCTTGTTTTTAAAACCTTCTTGTGTTTCTTTTACAATAATCCGTCTCACCTCATGCGACCTTTCATGCAAGTGATACCATTCTCTAGGACAAAGTTAGAAAGAAAACAAAATCTATCCGAACAAATACGAATGGACAACTGGAAGATGAAGCCGAGAAAAATTTCTTGCCAATGACATCGTAAGAACATTCTTGACTAAGAAACCCTTGAGCAACATAGGAAGCATAAACTACGAAAGTTTCGTGTGATGTTTTCCTACTAATCTGGAATACAAGGTCTGATTTCTTTCAAATTACAAATAAGCTCACACCCTAAACTCAAAGCACAAAACGCACTAAACAATCACATATTAACACCATCCGAGATACTTGTATCAGCATTCACAAATATTACATCCATGTAAAAAATTAACTTCACAATGTCTCGTCTGGGAATGAACTGCCAAGGTCAGCTCGGCATGGTAAAAGAATCAGTCACCTTTACACTGAACAAACTGGTATAATTGCAAAGCAGATGCGCAGCAACCAAATCAACTAATTTGCACATATCTCGATGGAAAACAAAATTGCCATTCATTTCCTCCCAATTCTTGTTTTAACACCACCTGAAATTTGGAACCAAGTAAAAAAGGTTTTAGGATCACATCAATCTTATAAAAAAGAAACTACAGCTACAAACTACTGAAGTAACTCTGAATATTTAACCCACCTTCCACTTCTTCAAACTGAACTACCTTCACCAGGTCCGCAGCCGCATTGTACTCAAACCTGCCAGATCAAACTTCAGTTATCCAATGATATCAACAAAAAAGAGGCTTTTATTATGCTGTCAGTTAGCTCAAACAAAGTAATGATAAATTATAACCAAGATAAAGAGAGGCTAAATTATTGTGCTAATGATTTATAGTATGTTATGCACCATGCTTAAACGTTAAAAGAAACACTTTTGACAGAATAAATCAAGAATCCCAGCTTACAAATAAAAAATATAAAATTTAAGCATATGAGTTACCTAGAATACCCAAAAGAAAATACCAGATCTTGTACCTCTTACTCGAAGCAGTAATTTCGACCACATATAAAACAGAGTATATACCGTCTCAGCAGTTCAAAAACATTACGAGGAGTTGTCAAAAGTGGAAGTTATTTCTCTAAGAGACAAGAAGCAGGATTGCAGCTTTACAGCATATGAAGATATGAAAGTTAGTAAGGATGTATAATTGTTCGCTAAAGGAGCTGAGTAAACCATTGCTGCAACCTTAAATGAATAGTAGTTGTGTGATCAACAACCACAAAGCAGAAAGAACATGAGAAACTGCGGCCAGAACATAGGCTGTCCATTACCTGTTAGAGTGAAGCACATCCAGTTCATAGTCAGATGCACTTTTGGTAGCTTCTACCAGGGCATTTACAATCTCTGCCTTTCGAGTACTAGCCATAAGTATATCATACTCTGTTGGGATAATTATAGCAAAAAAGTTATCACCCAGTTCACTCAAACTCAGCTTCTCAACAGCTGCTAGTGCAATCCGCCTTTTAAGTGCATCACAGTCTGGGTCTACTACATATATTGCAAAATCAGTAATCAAAAGTATACGATGCTTCATCTTCCCTGAACCAGTAAATTTCAAAACTTTATCTGCAAAGAGAACTTTACTGTCACCTGTGACATCAAAAGTCCGAGAAAACTTAGCGTTCTAGGAAGAACATTTCAGCTAACTGGTTAACACAAAACTGAGTACAAATAACCCCTGACGAGCAACAACAACTTTCAGCCTAACACACTACAAACCAGAGGTCCAAAGGAAACACTCAAAGAGCACATCAAGCAGGACCATCATATGTAGAGTACCAACATGAAAAAAAAAGATAGCTCAACACGGCTGTTAGAAAAACTCTAGAACACCATTTTCGAAGTAGGTTTGTTATAGTACTTGACAATTGTAACACAAATATCAAAAGAAGAAAGGCAAACAGTCACCACAATCAGAAAATCATACAAAAGACCACGAACATCTTGAATCAGAGCAACAAAATAGAATGGATTAAAAAGAAAAAAAAAACGCACTTGCACACTTGAGCGCACGAAAAAATAAATGCGCAAAACTCATGCGCCTGGTAAGAGTCACAAAAGGGAGTTCTCAATTCCTCCTTTTCAAAATTATATATTTCGCTTAGATCCATCTTAATATTACACAAATACACTCAACTAAATGATCAATGATGACATGTTGATATTTGCTACTAAAAAGAAAAAAGATAAGCAAAAAAACTGAGTACATTCAAAAAAAATCCAACTGAATTTGATTAGAGGGAGCAGAAGCAGTCCCTGGTTAATTGAAGAACAAATAGATACACAATAACACCATGGTTAACTAATGATGAATAACATCAAGATATCCAAGGCTTCAAATTTAAAGTTTTTTCGATACAATTTCCCTAAAGCACTATAAAACGACAATCGTCAAATTAGAATCGCGTCGAGATTAAAAGACTGCAAATTATTACCTTGTTTGCTGAGAATCTTCATGAGATATGATCGAGAACGCACGTTGACATAATCTTTACTGAAAAGGGTGTTATTTTGGATTCCTCCGTTTGAGTGGCCGTTGTCTCGGGTTTCAGGGGATGCGGTGTCTTCGTTGTCGTCATCGTAAATTGGCTGGTCTTTTTCCAGCCGCCGATTGGATTGGAACCGTGACATCCCGGGAAAGGTGGCAAGCCGGCGGCTTCGGACGGTGGGGGATGCCTCGCCGGTGGTTGTGGCTGCTGGATTTGTTTAGGCGTGGAAACGGGAGAGATTAGACATTTCGGAGCACGGGGCGGCCCCACTTCAGTTGGTGGGGTTCCAGCTGTTGTGATTGGGAAAATGTCTAAGTTTAATTACATAATGACTCCTTGAAATTTAATGATGATACCTTTCGACCCCTGTTATTTGGACAAGTTCACTTGGAGGAGTGTTTTTCTTAGATTCATTGAAAGTGCATCCTTTGCAAATGTTTCCCTCCAAACGTGAAGAAGGAAAAAAAATAGAAAGGAAAAAAATCCACAATTCCCCGTGACGGTATTTGACAATGAAACTCCTATTGGTAAGCATAATAGTGTAGTATTTGTCTTAAGTTCATCTTAGGCGTGGGGAGTAGACTTGGCAATTATGCCCAAAACCCAACAGTCCATCCACTAATTTGAGAGGTTGAGTTGGGTAAGTTAGGTATTTGGTTAATTTTGGGTTGGGTAATAAAAACCCACATATATTTTGGGTTGTTTTGATATTTGTGTTGGGCACTCATTACCCAACTTAAGTTAAAAAAACAAATAAACAAATTACAAGAGATGGGATATGGGATACAGAAACATTTCATTGTTCATGAAACAACATGAGACATGAACCAAAGCAGGGCCTCCATGTATGGATACTTAACAAAATTATATGAGCTACTTAGCTATAATACTTACTTGCATGCGTCGACGTTTTATTATTTTCCTATATTCAGAGCATTCCACTCCTTTTACTTCCATAATATTTTTCGCCACTTCTTCTTTTGTCATGCAATCAAATATAAGCCCATCTGGATTGTTATTTTTTGAAAATTTTATAAAAAAACATACTGTAATAATTTAATATATATATAATAACAAAATAATTAAAAAATGCATTCAATAAAACATTATAAATTTTTTGGGAAAAAATAACAATCCGAGAAAGTTTGCAGATACCATATCATATGTGTGCCTTTCCCACTTCTTGTTATACTAGCACGCCAATATATCCCACTTCTTAAGTGTGCATTTGTATTTGTGAGTGTTTTAGTGTGTGAAAATATGTCTATTTATGTAAAAATGTGTTTATGTGTGTGAAAAAGTTGTTTTTATGTGAAAATATATTTAAGAAAGTTTATGTATCAAAATCTATTAATTAATATATTTGTTCATATTTGAGTCATGAGTTTGAGATGACCCAATATAACCCAACCCAAAATTAATCCAATCTAAAATTAGACGAGTTGGGGGTAACCCATTTAAATAAAAATCCAATCTAACCCTCCCAATTGCCAGGTACAGTCGGGAGCACAGATATGCCTTGACATTTTGAAGGAGCAGTGAACCATAGATGTGGCTTGTGGCTGCTTATAGATGGTTGTAACTTGATGTTCGAAAGTAACCAAGTAATTGCCTTCTTTTTTACATGGTATCTCAACTTATGATCTTCCTTTTCATATTCTATGTTTTGCTTGGGAGTGCTAGGAAAAATTAACCTCATTTGTACAATATTTGAGAGAGAGAGAGAGAGAGACGTGATCCAGCATCTTCATGCAAATAGCAGTCAAGAACAACGAAATACTAAGTAGTTGTCCAACCTCATTTTACATGGCAGGCATTCTTGGACGAGCAAAAGAAGATACAAGGACGTACTACCAAACAATGCGACTAAAACTCAATAGTTGAGCAATGGGAGAAAAATTAATTCCAGCATATTTACTCCTTTAATTGAAGTAAGAATGGTACACTATTGTTGACCAGAAGTCGAAGCTATATCCGCAGCAATCGGTGTGAGGGCGGCGGGAGTTGATTCTTCCGTCCTCGTTTCAGTAGATGGCGGATTTCCTGTATTGACTCTTCTCATATCCTCTACCATCTTCAGTACATCACTCATTTTTGGTCTCTGCTCCGGCATTCTTGCCACACATGTCATCCCTATTCGTAACATCTCCACCATCTCCTCCTCTATATTAGGAAACCTCAAAAGCTCTACATCAAAAACTTCAGCAGTCCACTCCTCGCGAACAACAGAATTAACCCATCTGACCAAGTGGATAACTTCATCGCCACCAGTAGCATGTATAGGGGATTTTCCTGTGAGAAGTTCAAGCAGCAACACCCCAAAGCTGAAGACGTCGGATGCTTGAGAGACTTTCCGGGAGTCTGTCACTTCCGGAGCACGGTACCCTGCAGTCCGCATGACTGGTGGGGCTATTGGAGTGATTAGTGTTGCCAAGCCAAGATCAGACACACAACCATATTGTTGGGAGTTGAGGAAAATGTTCGAAGCTTTTATGTTTCCGTGAACAAGTTTCCCACCGCATTCCGAGTGTATATGAGTAATACCTCTCGCTGCCCCAATTGCAATCCTAATACGGGATTCCCAATCCAAAGGAATCCGCTTCTCACCCATTTTTGCTGAAAAAATGCCAAAAACAACACAAATGTTATCAGACAAACAAGTAGTCTCCAGCATACCAATACGTCCTCCCATTGTTTCTGCAGACAAACACAACTCCAGAAAAAATAGATCTCAACTTTTTAGCATGAATCAGCAATAATTTATATATGAACCGGTGAGTAACTGAAATAAATCTATTCAGTCCTGACGGCAAAAGCAAATTTATATGAGATCATCATATACAGAAGCGTTCTTTACATTCTTAAAAGAAAAAGTAGCAGTTACTTATCTACTTCATTTCTGACAGAACGTAACCAATTTTCTAACCTTCAGTTATAATCGAAACTAGGTTACATTTGGATTCCTAAATCTGTAGCACATACAGGAGCATATTGACATCAACTACTATTAATGTCTGTAAGATAAACTCTTCAACTCTGGAACCGGTAAAGTAGTCAGCTCTATTATATCATACCCAATTCCAATACTCGTGATTAATTTCAATAGGGCATTCCTTTAAGATCAACTCAATGTTAAGGAAAAGCTGCTTAGAGTAAAATGCCTGACATGAAGTAATGTAGAGACCAACACAATTCGGTGGTGGAAGAATGGGGACAAAAAATGCTGATAAAGGAAACTCGGGAAGGGAAGCATCACTTGCACTAATCATCATAGAAGATCTTGGTACGACTAAGCCATGGTTAAAACTTAAAAGTAGCTAACCTTAGCCTTGATGGGGAATAGTGTCTTTTTTGGCCACACTCCATTATATGGACAATGCCAAACTGTAAAGTTCGACTTGGGACTCATTCTGCTGGCGTGGACAGTTTGACACTCACCGTCCGGCGTCCGGTGCATTAAATTAGAGCCTACCAAGGCGGAGCTGATCGGTACCCGACATAACGACCCTTTTCTCTCTCTCTCTCTCTCTCTAAATTTAACACAAGGACAATTATTGCTAGTTGCTGCCTAAAGTTTTAACTTTTAACACGCTGAATGAGAGTGCATACTTCTTGTTCAGGTTTGCTTTGTTTAGTGTATAAACTGGTTCAAATGGGCCTGTTTGGAACCTGAGTTTTTTAGGAGTTTGTCTAAAATTTTACTGTAGTATACTGTATAAGTTTTAAAAAAATTTGTATAGAATTTTTTGTAAGATGAAAATTTTTTTTGTAATATGAAAAATTTTGTAAAAGTTTTTAAGGAGAAAAACTTTTTTTTTTCTTTTTTTCTTTCTTTTTCTCTTTCTCTTTTCTTTTTTTTTTCTTTTTCTTTCTTTTCTTTTTCTTTTCTTTCCTTTCTTCTTCCTTCCCTCTCCCCCTTCCCCGTTACCAGCCCCCTCCCAGCAGCAACGCAACACCCCCTACCCCTCCCCCTCCCTCTACCGTCACCCTCCCTCTCCCCTTTCCCTTCCTTCCCCTGCCACTCCTCTTCACCCTCCCCCGCCACCCCCCTCTACCAGCCACCCCTTTTCCTCCCCTCTCCCCGCCACCCGCCACCCTTTTTCCTCTCCCGTCTCTTCTGCCCGTCACCCCTTCCCCTCCCCTCTCCCCCGCCGCCCCTCTTCTCCCTCTGCCCCGCCAACCCCCTCTGTCTGCCACCCCTTTTTCTCCTCCCCTCACCCATCCCCGTCACCCTCAGCAGCCCCATCGCCCTCCCTTAGCTGCGATCTGGTCGCGCGACCAGATCGCAGCCCCCCATCCCCTCCACTTTTGCGATCTGGTCACGGGACCAGATCTGGTCGCGGAAAGGGAGGGTTGCGGGGGAGGAAAAAAAAAAAAGAGGAAGGCAATCAAACTGGATAAAGGGGGAGGATGGCAGGGAGAGGGAGAAAGGCAACAAAAAAAGGAAATGGCGCCGGAGGTGGTGGTGGTCGGCGATGGAGGTGGTGGACGGGTTGGGATAGTGGAGGAAGAAGAAAGCCAAAGGGAAGGGAATTTTTTTTATGTGTGTTCTGTGTATTGGGTTGGGATGGTGGATGAATTTGTGTGTGTTTTGTGTATTTTGAAGTGTGTAGGTAAAAAACTTTGAGAAGTTTTTTGAGATTCCTGTAGCAAAAGTTGTTAAAAAACTTGTAGGTAAAAAACTTGCCCAAAAAACTAGCTTCCAAACAGGCCCAATGTTCGAATTCAACTCAATAATTTATATGAATATTTGAGTTTAAATTCGAGATCGACTCGTTAAAATAAATTAGCCGAATCCCAGTTCAAACTTTAGCTCGAACCTGAGTTTGAAAATGATTTAATAATATCTTTAAAAAATACATGATCTAGAATAAGTTTATTGTATTTTTTGCTTTAAAAAATAAATAATATTATTTTTATTTATAATTACTTTTTGAGAAATTTACAATATATGTTTAATAAAATTAAATGCATTTATCTATTCTTTATAATTATATATGTGTCTATGAACTATTCAAATAATTCGGGATCAAATTCGTGTTCGGTTCGATTATTAATCAAGTATAATATTGGTATTCGAGTTCGATTCGTTCATTATTTGATCAAGTTTTCTTCAAACTCGAACAACTTGGCACAAATATATTTGCAAACAATTCGATTTACTATTAAAAACTCTAAATGCTGCCTGTATATCATTCCCGGGAGAAGTTCGAATCCTCCCATTATTATGTAACTTGTACTGCACCAAAGTCCAGTCGCCGTTTTAAGTTTTCCTTGTTCTCCAACTTCCTCTTGTTAACTCAATTGTATTGTACCATGAAACTTACAACTTTAGTGTTGTACCATGAAACTTATATGACGTGTGGAAATCAAAATATTTTCGAACAATAATTATAGAGTAAATCATACGTGTACTGACAGTGTATATGCTATTACGGTTAGATACACGACATATGTATAAAATTTTACATTATGTGTCATCCATCCAATAGTAAAAGTGTATACACTGTTAGTGTATAGAAGATTAATTCATAATTATAAATTGGGTGGCATTGGTTCTTGTTTGCTTGAAGCGGGTTAGAAGTGGAGATTTGGGGGGAAAATATCTGTCTTTAATTTATTGACAAGCAAAAGCAAAGCTGCTTTAAAATCAAGCTTAACTTTAAAATTAACACATTTTAAATCAAAATAAACTAAATGCTACGGCTGTCAAATTTCATAACAGTCAAGATACAAATTAAATAATAAGCAGACCTGAAATCTATTTAATCTATTGCAAGATCCACAGCCATTTGGGCGGCTACTCCTAAAGTCTTGGTCCTTGGCTTAGCTTTGACTTTATGAGCGGCCAAAATTAGTTTGTATATTATCAATTCTTTGGATCATTACAATAGCAGTTTCCTTGGATTTTCTTTTGTTCCAAATTTTACAACTGGAGATTAAGAACATTGTCAATCACAAAAATTATACCATCGAAAGAAAATGCTTTTCACAGAAAAGGTAGCAGGTAGCAACGTACAAGTAACTGGTTTAATTCTCGTTTTGTTTTTCGAACGTCTCAATCACCGACAAATAGATAATTAATTTGTTAATATGATTCAGAAGTCAGATTGCACTGCTCAAAACAGCCGGAGGCTCGCTACCTCCCTTTTCCAGGTCTTCTATTATTAAAAATCAGGATAACTCGATTAATAATCAGAGTGGCGCAGCGGAAGCGTGGTGGGCCCATAACCCACAGGTCCCAGGATCGAAACCTGGCTCTGATATTAGAAGAGACAAGCTTCCCCTACCACCTTTTTTTATTCCATTCCGTATTACTGCGCCTTTTTCCCCATACTTTATTACTGCGTCTGGGCGAATAAAATAAGACCACCGCGAGATATCGTCTGCTATTTAAACCCATTCATAAAAAGAGAAGTTAAAATACCCAAAATACAAGAAGAAAAGCCCTAGTTACAGATTTCAAAATATCGCGATATACCAAAAAAGATCTCTAAACTCTGCAAAATCCGCTTTTCTCTCCACCGATAAGAGATTAGGACTCGATGAAATCTTCTCTCTCCACGTAAGTTCCATTCCCATATCTGCGTCTATCTCGCTATTTTCTCTTTCTTTATGTTTTCTTTTTCTTCTGGATCTTTATCTGAATAAAGCTCTACCTGGTTTAGAGAGAAAACGCAGAAAGCTTCCCATTTTGCAGAGAAATCTCGTGCTTTTATTATTCGAAGCTAAAAAGCGAACATGAGATGAGCATATTACTGGAAATTTTTGGCTTTTTTACGTTCTGTTAATGCGGAGGAGAAAGATGTGAAATAGAAAGCTGCTGTTTTTTGCGTTGCATCTTGATTGATAAGGAATCTTAATATGTAACAAAATAACTTGTTAGCTGAAATATTATGTGCTCAATTTGATTGGACGAAATTGCCGCAGATGAACAAGACGAATATCACTGTTCTAATTCGATACATTTTGTTGTCTTAAAATACTAATGATGTCTGTTCATGGACCAAAGCTGAGACTGCTGATGAAAAGTAAAATTCGTGGTACAACTGAAATTCGTAATACTATATGATGACGTGTGCAAAATCTAGCTCGATGTTGATAACCATGACACTTTTTTGTAAAATGCAATGCGTCCGTGAATTTTTTTCCTTGTGTAAAATGTAGTCTGTCAAAGTAGTAGGTGATGATCCATGACAGGCGTCTCTTGGCATTAGCTTATCCATGTCCAATGAGCTTCTCTACAAAGTTGAACTCATCTAATTTTTTTGATGATAACTTATGATTTGTGTCAATGTGACTTCGTATGTACACGCTACTCTGCTTTGCTTCAGTTAATACTGCATTTCTGTGCTGTTTGTGGCAATATTTTTGTCTCATGGTCGGAGATGCTTTGAATGCATTGTTGTCTCTCATAATACCTTCTTCAGCTGGATATGGTGGTTGTTATATGAATTTGTTTACCAACTTTGTCTGTATTTGTTTTTCCCGCTTGTCATATATCATTCAATTCATTGTTGCTTCTTTAGGTAAGGAGAGGTCAGAGCAAAGCATCTTCTGTATCAGTAAGCTGTCTCTTTTCCTAATTTAAAATTCTATCACATTTTTCATGAATATGATCTTCAAAGTTCATGCCTGCGTGTTAAGCATTTGATTGCCGAATCTTGATGGTGTCAGAATTTTTTTTTTCTTTTTGCACGAATAGGGGATTGAAGATTGCTGCTTTACTTGCTAATTTTGTTGCCTGTCCACTCTGTAAGCTTTAATGGAGTTGTCACTCCATAATGGCCTAATATCTAAAATTCCTGATGATTTGTGTGTAGTACCGTGATTAATGCATGTGTGCACCTGCTTAGTAACATACATGGACCAAATTGTCAAATTTTCTTCTGTGGCAGTGGTTCGAGAAAAAGATGTTTGCTGGGAGTATGCCGAAAAGTTAGACGGAAACAAAGTGAGATGCAAGTTCTGCCTTAGAGTACTGAATGGTGGCATTAGTAGATTAAAGCATCATCTGTCTAGACTTCCCAGTAAAGGTGTAAATCCATGCGGCAAAGTGAGGGATGATGTTACTGACAGGGTCAGAGCTATTATAGCGGTAAAGGAAGAGGGAAAGGAAATTCCCCTTCCCAAGAAACAGAAGCTAGCAGAAGCGAAACCTCCTATCAGCACTTCCATGGGTAAAGGTTCAATCACTTTGGAAGCACCTCCTCCAGTGGTGAAAGTTTTTCCATCTGTGATGCCCATAGGTTCCTCCCCAGCTAGTGACGAAGAGAATGCAGAGAGAAGTATCGCCTTATTCTTTTTTGAAAATAAACTGGATTTTGGCGTGGCTCGTTCTTCATCTTATCAACAAATGATTGATGCAATAGGAAAGTGTGGCAGTGGGTTCATAGGGCCATCCTCTGATTCTCTTAAGACTATCTGGTTAGATGGGATCAAGTCTGAATTAAGCTTAGAATCTAAAGATATTGAGAAAGAATGGGCCATGACAGGTTGTACAGTAATCGCTGAAACATGGACAGATAACAAATCTAGAGCTTTGATTAATTTTTTAGTCTCTTCACCTTCTAAAACTTTTTTCCACAAATCAGTAGATGCATCGTCATATTACAAGAATATCAAGTGCCTTTCCGATTTATTTGACTCTGTAATTCAAGATTTTGGCCAAGACAATGTTGTGCAGATTATTGTGGATGATACTCTTAATTGCACTGGTTTGGTAAACCATATTCTTCAGAACTATGGGAGTATATTTGTTTCCCCTTGTGCTTGGCAATGTCTAAATTCAATCCTGGAGGAGTTCTCCAAAGTAGATTGGGTTAACAGATGTATCTTGCAGGCACAGGCTATCTCAAAGTTTATATATAACGCTTCGTCTGTTCTGGATCTTATGAAAAAGTACACCGGAGGACAGGGGATCATTAAGTCTGGCATCACAAAGCCTGTTTCTGACTTTCTCTCCTTGCAATCTATCCTGAAACAGAGGTCAAAACTGAAACATATGTTCAATAGCCCTGAATTTTCTGCAAATTCAGCTTT